CACACCCAAGCGCATAGTGTGGATGTGCAAATGGCACCATGGCCAGGCCATAAACCAATGCCTCCTGAATGGGCAGAAAGGCTCACCCAGCATGACGAGGAGCCGCTATGGAATGCTGGTTGGATACCTCTTGAACCACAAGAGAACTGGCAAATCAACCACCAATGCCAAGGCCATGGAACATGGCAAGATCTCCCAGTGCTCCAACCGCACCAGTACCAAGGGTGGGCTTTTGCACTCGATGCTACACCGTCCACATATGACCAACGAAGCCAGCTTTGGGTCTTCGGACTCTGCGTACACACAATGCGCGCAGGACAGCTGCACAGACTGGGTGCAATAACAGGCATTCCCCACCAACCCGCAGACCAAAACACGAGCATTGGTGGCAGGCCTTGCTGCACTGGCCAAATACACAAGCACCTCTGTGAAGGTTATTGCGCAGGTGATTGCAGTTTGGGAAGCTTGGACACACCCAAAACAAAGAGCGCACTACCAAGAGCTCTATGAGGGCCTGACGGACTCTGACTTCCAGCGTGTCACTGTCCTCTACGTCAGCAAAAGCACACGCGCACCTGAAACCCCAGGCAGTGAACCACGCCTACAACGACGCCAAAGCGATGCGGCTTTGGCGGCCTGGGAACGGGCAGATGCCCTACACGACAAGAAAGCCACTGCGTGGCAAGCAGTGCTCGACAAGGACCATGCCGAGATCTACAAGCATGCAGCCGCTAGACTTGCTAAGATATACTCGGACAAAGAGCACTACCTCCACCAGAAAGCCCCAAGGCATCAAGGGCGACAGACCAAGCAACGCAAGAAGCAGCTTGTCCAACATTGCCGCAAGCCCTGGCAAGCGCCTTTCCATCGATGACAACCCCATCGAAGTGGACCTAGGCCAGGCATGCCCTCAGCTGGCGAGGAGCACTATCCTGAGCATCATAGCCCACGCAAACCAATTCAGAAGAAGCTCACTAGAGCCCAGGTCATTGCCAACCTTGGCCAAACAGTCAGCGCAACAATCTGACAGCCAGCATACCCTTGAGGAAACCAAAGGGTATTTGAAGTGCGCCAATTGTGGCAACAGTGTGCGCAAGCGCACCAATGAAGATGCATTTCAGGCTTTTGTCCAAGGCCCATGCATCAACAGGCCCTACGAACAGCCACATCAAGGTCATGCCAGGGTCATGCCAGCCACATTTTGTGGCAAAGAGGTGACAGACTGCAGTGCAAGAACTGTGGGACCCAAACACAGACGGATGCCCAGCAAAGGCCAATCCTCACCAATGCCCTCCAGAAGAGCTGCAAAGGGGCAGCTATCAGTGGCTCACCCCGCTTGCAGAACTATTCCGAAGACAAACCGAAAAAGCCAGTCAGCAGCAACCTGAAGGTTCAAAAGCTGGCACAGATGACGCATCTCGCACAGGGGAACAACAACCGGTTGGCCATGAACCCCAGCCCACTCCGGTGACCCTACGACGAGCAGATGACAAGTCAGAAACCATGGCGTCGCCTTTAGCGCCAAGGCAGCTTCTTTTCAGTGCGGAGAGCTGTGAGCCCAGGGTCCCTCAACCTACCGAACAGCCGGGACCAAAACACCTGCAGATGACCCTTGGCAGGGTTTGCGCAGGAAACGACCATACAAACCTGGCAGACCGGCAGAACAAGAGGCGCCTGCTGAACAGGCCCAGAAACCCAGCCCAAGCCCAACAGGTGAGTCCGCCTCCTCTGAAACACCAGAAGAGGAAGATCTGGAAACAGACCCCACGGCCGACATGCCAGCTGATGGAGAAGCCCATGAGGACCTCACGCAAGTGGACTTCTTTTGACCACGAGCACCTCTACCAGAGGCGGCCTATGCTGCGGCGCTGCGGCTGGCAACAAGGCCAAAGAGCCACAGAGCACAACAGGCAGAAAAGAACCTTTAGGAGAAAAAATACATGCATACATACATACATACATACATACGCACATGCATGCATACAGAGGTATGCGCACGCATGCATATGCCCATGGACATTGCCGTTTTTGGCCAGAATGAACAATTCAGTAGCAAGCTTGGAAAGGTTCCAGATTCCAAAAGTCTCCAAGGTAGCGAGGGTCTCCAAGTCACTGTGCGTGTGCAGGTTTCTCATCTGTGAGCGAGACAGATGAATTGCTCTAGTATAGAGGTTTTTCAAACAGGCGAGCGCGGGACGGATGAATCGCTCTAAGTACGTGGGTACGCGCGGCAAAAGGAATAGGTAAGCTCGGCAAAACGATGGAAAGCTGCACATCTACATGGAAACCAGGTTGTTAGGTGCCCCAGGTTTTGACATGGAGGACTGGCTCACCGGTTGTCCTTGCTTTGATTTGAAATATAGCTCTCTGATGCTGCTCTGTTTGATGAAGCTACACCTCAGAGAGGGAAGCGTTCACTGGCCATTCATTCATGGATGCGTGCTCGTTTTTTAGACTTGGAGGGATTCTTATGTTTCGCTAGTAGACTGGAGGCAGTGTTCGTCGGCAGACTTGTCTGTCGGTTCTCTTTTCTTTTCACTAACACTATGAGCGATTCCTCCGTCTCGGTCACCAGCGCTCAGAAAAGTGAAAGGAGCGAAGTGATGAGACATGAAGGCGGGAAAGATGGGACCAGATGAACGGCGACAAACAGGACAAAACCGCACCTCATGAAAGCAAGCCCGGGGAACATTGCCTTGTTTTGGTGTGTGAGATGCACAATGTGCACGCTAGGATAAGGCCTGAGTCCTTGAGCCATGTCCAGAGAACGGCCGCCTTCGCCGGCTCCGGGCACGTTCTGGTCTACAACCTGCCGCATGCATTCCATGGCATCAAGTCTTGTCACCAACCTTTGCGCTAAGGCTCCTTCGCCGCGCTCGCTCTGGGCACGTTCCCCTTCCGCCAGGGAAAAGACATTTCTTGATTCAGCGAGCTCGCTCCGGGCTCTGACAAGGAGAAGCAGGCCCGAGATAATCGCGCGAAGGTCGCCAAATGCCTGGAAGAAACCTCCGGGAAAAGATGGCCTGTCCAACGCGGATTTATGTAAAGCGGTTTGGCCAAAGTGCAAAGTTCACGAGCTTGGAAAGGTTCTAAATTCCAGAAGTCTCCAATGCAGCAAGGGTCTCCAAGTCTGTGTGAGCGAGAGCACATGAACCGCTCTAGTGCAAGAATAGCCTGTGAGCGAGATAAGAATTAATGTAATGGAGGTTCTAGACTGTGAGCGAGACAAATGAATCGCTCCAACTGCGCGAGACAAGTGAACCGCTCTAGCAGAGGTAGTTCCAAACTGCGAGCGAGACAAATTATATTTATAGTTCCAGAGTGCGGGTGAGACGGATGAATCGCTCTAAGTAGGTAGGCAGGCACGGCAAAAAAGTAAAACCTCCTGTTGTAGGATAGGTAAATTAGGCAAAACGATGGAAGGCCCCCAGTTCTAATGAGCAAGACGCGGAAGCTCTCATTGCGGTAAGTGAAAATGAAAAGAGAACCCTCAAACAAGTCTGCCAACGACTCTGCTTCCAGACTTCCAGGTTAGGTCCGAGACATAAGAAACGCTCTAGTTTAAAAAGCGGGTACGCAAAGGCCCCCGGCAACTTTCTTTGGCACGCGCGCGCGCCAGAAAGATTTTATGTACACAGCATGCAGACATACATACATACATACAGTTACATACAATACAAGACAGTACAGGACAGTACGTACATACATGCATACATACATACAAACGTACGTACGCGCGTACATACAAACAAACACACATACATACGTACGTACATACATACATACATACATACACACACATACATACACTCACACATACACACACATACAGACACACCCATACAGAAAGAATATGTGTATACAGTATACATAGACACACAGACATACATACATAAATGCGAACATACAAACATACATACATTCACACATACAAACATACATACATGTCTACGTACATACATACATACATACACACATACACATACATACACGCCTACGTACATACATACATACATACCTACGTACGTACATACATACACACATGCATAAATACATATATACATACACTCTTACATACATACATACATACATACTTACTTACACACATACATACATACAAACATACACACATGCACACACACATACATACACACATACAACCACATACATACATACTTACATACATACATACACACATACAAACACAGATGCATACTCACATACAACCACATACATACACACACATACATACACACATACATCATACATACATACATGCATGCATGCGCGCAAACACGCATACGTACATACATACGTACATACATACATACATACATACATATGCGCGCGCGTGCATATGCCCATGGACATTGTCGATTTTGCACTCATGTTGCCACTACATGACTGTGCACCGTGCTTTCTGAGAAGTCGACCGCGCAGATGCAATGAGTACCGGTTCAAAGGTTTCAGCCAGTGAGAGGTACACGTTTGCGAAAGCCGTCCCAGGCATCAGCCAGGGACTCGTGTTTCTCCGAGTGGGAAAGCCACGCACCGTAAAGACGTGGCAGCTCGAGAGAGAGAGAGCTTGAAGAATGTCTTTTTTGGGCCCGGCATTGCGAAAACTGCGTGGCCCAATCTCCGCAGAAGTTGTTAGGCCTGGCTCGAAAGTATGACCTCCCACTGTGCCAAACGCCAACGTGTGGCAGTGTGGCTGTTGCACTGTTGCATGTGATGAAAATATAGATCACCTTCTCGCAAGCTTCACTTCTGCGCCGCAACAGGCGTTCCTTTGTTGCATGATTTTGCCACGCTCGCTGTTCCAGAGAACCTTTTCCTTGCGCTTGCATTCCTTTCATCTTGAAAGTTTTTCCTGAGGGGTTTGGCAGGTTGGCACTGCGATGAACTGTTTTTATCTGTTGGCTGTTCGCCCGGCCTGCTAGGGCAAGGGACACTTTATACAGTATTGTATCTTTTGACGGGATTAAAGACGGGAAAACCAGGCCCAGTCTATACAGACCTGGTGCGTTTGGTGGTGCCACGATCGACGACCCCTGGGAGACAATGTCAACCTACAAGAAGAAACTTGAGCCGCTTGGTTGCAAGGAAGATGCTGCTAAAGCGCATCTAAAACCCATAAATCAGAAGGTGTTGCTGTCTGATTTTCATTGGTTTAACGCGCTGAAGGCCATGGCACTGTGCCATCTAAATGGAGCAACATATGTTCTCACGTGTTCGTGGTCTTTTTTTCTCCGGGAACGTGTTGTCCGGAATGACAAGCGCTTGCTCAACTGGCCTGCTTCCAGGCAGGAGCGGGGCTGCGACGTCGTGGTTCCCCTTTGCCATTTGTACGAGCCACAGGACGCTGGTGATTTTGCTGACCAGCCAGAGGGCTTTACTTGCAGGGCTTCAATATGTGACTGTGCAGAAGGAGGTTGGTTCACAATCTGTCGTTTCGGGAATCATATGTCAGCCCGTGGTTCTGGGAGTTTGCCAGCTGCTGTGCTTGGACATTGCAATCAGCACTTCACAGGCTCCCCTTGCGTGGGCAGTGAAGGAACTAATGTAGAATGTAGTGTAGCTAACAACGTAGCGAGTAGTGAGCAGTATTATGTGAGTGTCAGGTCTTGGTTGGTAGCTGTGCAGGATTTGCACTTAGACATGTGTCCCCTAATGTCCTGGCCCAAGAACTTGATCCAAATAGCTTTTGCTGGGAATTGACACGACATAGCTTTGGCTGCCCTTGCGCCTTTTTTGAGCTGCGCGCGTTAGCTTGTGGGCGAACAGTAAGTATGTGCACTGTGTGCACCACGCAAAGTCCTTGAAAGGGTGAACGCATGCATTCCGTCCCGGAGGTGTCTTGCCGGAGCGCCGACGACTGAGATCATCTAGCGCCGTCAAGCGTAGGAACTTGTGACGTGGGCCGAATCTTCTATGTGGCTTCAAGGGGCTTGGATCGTGTCAACGAGCCCACCTTTATCGCGGACTGTCGGAGCGGCGAGCACAGCTGAGGGCGGTGCTGTGCCGAACGGTCTGTCTGTCGAACTGGGATCTAGTCGCCGGGTCATGCCAGGGTGGCTCCACCGCTTAACGACGATCCGAAACTGGCGGGCGGGCAAGGTCCGTGGTCTTCCGGATGCCACGCCCCCCAGAAAAGTGAAGCGTCAGCTCGCGCAGCTGACTCCGCGCAGCAATTGGAGGCCTTAAAATGCGGCACTCACTGGGCAAAGCGATCGAGCTTTCCAACCGAGGCCCCTTCACAAGAAAAAACACCAGGTCAAAAAACTCGCAAATCTTGGAAACAATCGAACGAACCCCATGAACCATCCGAGCCAAGGTAGGCCTGTTGAAAAGCTGTCGGGGGCGGACCAAAATGTCCTGCCCTTCTCGCCTGTGAGGGATGACGAAGTCTTCCCTCTCAAAAAGAAAAAGTGTGAGCTCAATGAAACTAACTGGCAAATGATCAGCCAGCTCATCTTGAAGTGGCCGCAAAGCTGTCACCAACCACTGTGCATGTTCAGCAACCGTGGCGGGCTTAAACAATTGGAACATGCCATCATGCCAATCCTCAGGAAGGCAGGTGGAAGGCGTACTCTGCTGTGCAATCTCGTCCCAGTGAGTGTCGTCAATCACCTGTGCAGCATCGCCAGCTTGATGCTGCTGGCGCTGATCTCCCACTGCCAAAAGAAAGCCTCTGAGGTCTCGCAAAAAAGGGACCCATCTTTCCAGCCTGGCCCAGGCTTCGCTGCCATGGAGGGCTTTATTCCAACAAACCATAGGAAGAGCTTTAAGTTTGAAGGCCAAAGGAGCCTTAGACCTACGAAGTCTAGCCCAGCAGTCCTCTAGTTTCTGGCCTTTTGCGCGAAGAAGCCTATTGCGCCAAGCTGCGCCGAAGTGCGCCGCCCAATTCCAAGGCGTCCTCATAGAGGGGAAATCCAAGGTTCTGCAACTGCTTGCGTAAGTCCCCAGTGGTGCCCCACAGGTAGGTCTTGGTACGGTCCAGGAGCAGGCCCCACTGCGCTAAAAAGGCTTGCAGGGAGAAGTAAGCCTGGGCAACGTGTTGAGCTTGATGCCCCGCAATGGAGATGTTGTCCACGAAGCTGAAAGTCCTGGCTGAAGGCGCGAACCGAGACTGATAAACGTGCATGGACCAGTCAAGGAGAGCCATTGCCGCTGTGGAAAGCGGATCGCCCTCAGGAAAGCCGACATTGCTAAGACGAGCTTCGCCAAGCTCATTGTGGTCCAGGAACCTCCTCCGAAGGCCAGAGAGGAAACTTGCCCAGGGTCTCATCAGTCTCTGTGGCGCCCCTACGTGGGCCGCAAGAAAGAACAATGGAGGACGCTGAATGTGGTTGAAGGCCTTGACGACGTCAGTGGACAAGCCCCCAAGTGGCATAGAAGCCTGGATGCAACATTCAATGTGAGCTTGAAGCAGCAGCCAGATTTGTGCTGTCTCTTTCTCAGGCAGGAATCCATAGGCATCCGTGTGGCTGTAAGCCGTGAGTTGTCGTAGAAATTGGCGTGCCCTCAGAGAAGACCAACGTCTGTAGACAATAGACAGCAAAGCAATTGGCCGGAAGTGATCCGGTGTGTGTGATATATCTTTCTTGGCCAGAGCGATCACGAAGGCCTCCAGCAATTGAGTTGGCCATGTAGTCTGCCCCATTTCAACTGCCTCAATGAGAGAGAGGAGTGCGGCTATTTGTCCATCAGACATGCGAAGGAGGTCTTGCTTTCCAAAGCCGTCTGCTCCCCGTGCTGCCTTGGGCTTGAAGCGCTTGATGGAGGCCCGCCGCTGCCGTATTGTGATTGGCTCAAACACAAAGCGACCCGTCGCGCGGTCCATGATGCACTCGTGGTTCGTTGAGTGGTTGAGTTGTTGAGAATTGTGATGCTTCATTGATGTTCATTGAGTAATGGATTCTGAAATTGAGTGATCTTGATTAATTGAGGCGAGGGAGTCGCTTCGGAACGCAGAAAATAGTTCGCTTCGGAACGCGGGAACGGTATCGCTTCGGAACGCGCGTCAGAGCTAGTAGGTTGGAGGCCATCGCTACAACTAGTCTGCACTGTCTGGTTGCTAACTGCAACCCACCCCACCCCATCCCCCCCACCCCACCCCATCCTTCATCCTTAAACCCTCCCCATCTGTGTCTGTGTGTGTTCTAAAGTGAACCAAAAAATCAGGTGCGTTGTGTTCCAAAGATATCTCGCTTTTTGCTAACCCTTCCACGTTTTTGTGTGTTTTGTGTTCCAAAGTGGTCCATTTTTTGTGTTCCAAAGCGAACTAAAACCCTGTGTTCGAAAGTGAACTAAAACTTGTGTTCTGAAGTGACCCCGCTTCCTTAATTGATGGTCAATCATGCTGCTATTGGGTGTAATCATCCAACTCGAATCCTTTTTTGTAATAAACCAACTATTATTGGGGTTCCCTATGGCGTGAGAAACCCTCAATTGTCCATTGACCATCTGCCGCTGCCAATTTCATGGTTGGCAAGGCAAAGGCTTCGCCAAGGCGGGATGGCCGCCTTGAAGCGCGCGCGGTACCGGGGTGAATCACATGGTGATTCGCAACGCGGGTTGAGAATTGTGCTTGATTCATATTAATTACCAATCATTATCAACAGTCATACTATTCTCAATCATCATCAAGAATTGCCTATTAACCACAATGAACCATTACTTAACCCTTTATTTACCATGAACAAACTAGTCTTGACCACCATTAATAGGACTGCTAATCATCATGAACCCTTAATTGATTATTATCCATGTTGACCGTTACTAAGAATTCTCCACAATCATCAACCCTCTTATCCTCACCAAAAGTTCCATCTGATGTGGCCAATCCGCTGAAGTTGGACTTGAGCTTTGAACAGGTTGCAGCAAAGAGTCCTCGCATGCTTTCCGTGCCCGTTTTCACGTGACCGGCTTTGCTTGCAGGGGACGAATCAGTCTCCAGGCTCTTAGAATTGTGTTTGGGATTGTTTGGGTCAAAGCAGAAAGGGTCGCTGTGCAGCCGTTCAACTAGTTCAACATTCGTTTGGTGGCAACATCGCATACTTTCTATTGCAACCAGAAATACAACACGTTTTTCTGTGTACACTTTGATGCCATCATTGGAAGGGGTTTGATCATCATTGTCTTTCCAAACGTTCGGTGGAACGCGAGTCGCTGATCCCTTGACAGGTTGGTCCAATGAGTGGGACGGCCAGTCTTGGCCAGGATGCCGTGGCCATGTTCATGTCACACTCATTCCAGGTTGACACGACATCCAAAAGTCCAGAAATTGGATACCATGAGCACCCATCATTGGGTATCTACAAATCTTAGCATTTGGGAAACCAGCAATTTCGCGGGGACTTAGAACCTAGGGATGATCCCGAAAAACGACTCTCAAGTCTCAAGTATTACTGTAAGGGTTTGCCCGACGCTGGAGGAGATTGGTCGTCGAATGCATGGCCAGAACAAGGTTGGGGCAAAGGTGCGCTTTGAGGTGATCAGGATTGATAAACTGGTACCCCATCAGCTGCTGGGGCTGGCAACTCAATTTATCGTCAGTCGAGTTGGTTCCTGCGCTTAGTTGAATGTAGAACTTCGCCAAGCCCATCAGCTGTTGTGCTTTTAAGCATTTTACAAACATGTTTTCTAGTAACAAATGGTTGGGTGATTAATATTGTTCATATGGGGTTGAAACCACCAAGCAGCATCAGTTGGTCATAGGCGATTGTTGGTGAGCCATGATGGACCATGAACGGTGGCGAAGCTGCGCAGCAGTTTCCAGGAGGCTTCCAGCCTGAGCAAAGCTGGGACTGGGGTAACGAGGCAGGGGTTTCTAGGAGTCACAACATGTCACAACCATCATGTGATGCCATTGCCATTGCCATGCTGTCTTCCCAATTGAAAAATGCAGGCCATGCTGAGCGCGAGCCTTCGAGAGGTTGCCTGGGCGGCATGTTACCCAGACAGGCGGACAATCTGCCAAAATCATCTAAAACGTGGTGACTAATCCTATCTGAACCACATAAAACCGAGCACCAGCTCATGGAAATGTTTTTTAATGGGCACAATGCGTATCGTTGAGAGCTGAGTGGATGGCTGCAGGATTCTCCAAGAACCTCCAAATCAACGCGAGCAAAGCATGGTTGGCTTCAGTATATAGTCATTCTTGACTCTCAACCGACCATGAATAGCAACCAATAAACCTTAAACCGACAGGCACTCAGTATAGCTTGTTACGCCCAGGAGACTGCCTTGGCCGGGAGTTATTCAATCAGCTATGATCAGCTGTGAATTCGTGAGCCCACCGCAGGGCTGCTGCGGCAAGCACGCCGTGCGGTTTGTGGATGGGTTTGATGACA